TATTTATTTATTTTATTTTATTTTTTTTTTCTCTTTGAGAGCTCTCTTTGTATTCCAGGCTGGTCTCAAACTCAAAACAATCCTCCTACCTCAGCCCCCTTGAGTTTTAGGATTACAGGCATGCACCACCATGCCTGGTACTGGAATGTCTTTTACAGTGTGTTTTAGCTAGTTTAAAAGTTTTTAGGATTTTGGTATAAATACTTGGTATGCATGTTTTTTTTACATTTCTTTATAATGTTACCTAATTAAGCCTGCATTGTTTATTAGATAATAAATTTTGGTTTTGGTGGTTATTTTATCATAGATTACAAACATAGTCTATACGGGTGCCTTTAGATTCTTCTAAATCATTGAATGCCTTTCTTTTCTCTAACTTGTTTTATTGGTTTGCCCTTTAGGCAAAAGATTCTTAAAAGTACTGAGGAGCAGGAGTTGGAGAAGAGCCTGAAAATGCAGCAAGAAGTGATAGAAATGAGGAAAAAGAATGAAGAGTTCAAGAAACTTGCTCTTGCAGGAGCAGGTCTGCCGGGCTCTCCTTGAGTATTTTATGAGGGTGCTGCTTATCATCTCGGCAGGGCTTCTTTGTTCTCTGCAAGAATGTCTTAGTAGTCAGCAGAACAATAACTGTTTACTTAAAGGACTGAACGTAGGTCTCATTTATATGCCAGCAATTATTGCCTATAATATTTTACCTACACTGGCCCTTATAACATTCTATTCTTTCTCCTGTTACCAGAAAAAGGAGGAACTAGTTGCGATCGGGACAGAAAATAAGCCAATTTACTGTTGTTGTCTATCCTCTTTTATCCTAAAGACAGGAAAAGAGCTGAGGCAAGCCAGTTGCACTGAGAAACACGCCTGAAGGGAGGCGTCGCAGTTCTCATTTACTCTGACATAGGGTAATTAATGGGGCCAGAGGCATAAAGTCCTTGACAAGCATCCCTGGAGATTATAGAATTTCACTTTCCTGTTAGAGAAGCTGAGTTAAGTTTGCTTTTAAAGTCGCTACTTAAGGACTAGCAGTGTAGCGCAGCAGTAGAGTGCTTGATTAGCGTGTGTGAGGCCCTGGGTTTGATCTCTAGTGCCACACACACAGTCAGTCTATAACTTTTCCTGTCAGAGGTATCCCACTGACTCCAGCCACTCCTGGAAAATGAGATTCTTCTTCCCTGTTGTCCCTTGTTTACATCTGGCTAAAGGGCTTCAAATCTAAAAAAGTCCAATGAATATGACACAGGTGTTAGTATCTCAGAGGACTTTCTGTGTTGGGTGTTATATGTAAGTAGTGAACAAAGTTAAAGCCATGGGAGTCGAAGCTTGTGACAGGCTAGAGTAAAAAACAGGATTTATTGGTGTTCTCTATGCTTTTTTTTTTTTTTCTTTCCTGTTTTTTGAGATGTGGTCTTGTGTTCAGCTGGCCTTGAACTCTGTAGTCCTGGCTGGCCTTGGACTTGAGGTGTCTTCCTGCCTCTGCCCAAGTGCTGGGATTACAGGTGTGCCAGCTGTGTACCATCATTATGCCCAATGCCGATGTGCTCTATTCTTTTCTTTCTTAAATTTATTTATTTTATTTATTTGTGTGTGTGTGGCCAACTCAGCCCACCAACGGGCGGGGCTGGCTGGCATGTGGTGCTGGGGGATTGAACCGCGGTCGCTGTGCTTTGCTAAGCTTGTTCTAAGTAGGTGCTTTAGACCACTGAGCCATCTCACCAGCCCTGTGCTCTATTCTTAATGTTATCTGTATGTCTCTCTTTGCTCCTCAGGGCAACCAGTGAAGAAATCAGTGAGCCAGGTAACCAAAGCAATTGACTTTCACTTCTGCACAGATGAGCGAATCAAACAACATCCTAAGAACCAGGAGGAGTATAAGGAAGTGAACTTTACAGCTGAACTGCGAAAGCATCCTCCATCTCCCGTGAGTTGATAGGGGAGATGACTATTCTTGTTGCTAGTTCAGATTTCAGATATGACAGCTATGGTTATTAGTTACAGTACAGTTTAGTTGAAAGCATATATGTAGCTTTTAAGAGAGGAAGAATTTATTGAGAGAGAGATAGCATCTGGCTGAGAGGGACAGAAGGGGACCTGGAAAGTGGGTTCCCTAAGAAGCATATGTTTTTTTTATTTTTTTAAATTTTTTAATTTTTATTTATTACATTTATTTATTGTGTGTGTGTGTGTGTGTGTGGCCAGCTCAGCCCACCAGGGGGCGGGGCTGGCTGGCATGTGGTGCTGGGGGATTGAACTGCAGTCCCTGTGCTTTGCCAAGCTTGTTTCAAGTAGGTGCTTTAGACCACTGAGCCATCTCTCCAGCCCCAAAGCATATGTTTTGAATTAAGCCATGTGAATCTTCTTTAAACTGTGACTTGGACACATCACTCTACCTCTGGGAATCCTCTTACCAAGTTACTGTGAAAATTAAATTAAGAAAGATCATAAAATTATGTGTTGGAACTTGTAGGTGTAGGCATTTGTACTCTACAAAATTGAGAAAAATCTTGTGTCTACAATTATGTAGAAAATACATAATTAAATCTTCCGCACCTTTTTTTTTTTTTTTTTTTTTTGCGGAACTGGGGATTGAACTCAGGCCCTTGGTCTTGCCAGGGAAGTGCTTATTCCTCTGAGCCATCTCCCTGGCCCCCCTTCTGCACTTTTATAAAGAGAGGTCCAATGAAAACAGTGACAATCCTAGATAAAAATTCTAGAATTTAAAGTCTACTCCCTTGTTAGGATTAGTCAGCCTTTGGTAATCTTAAACCCAGAGTTTGTGCTGTGCTTTTCAGGTATGTCTTTGAAAAGTTCTGCTTTTGGCCAGATGGCAGTCTTACCAAGACTACTGACCGAAGGAGTAGACTTTCCCCAGTCAGTTTGAGGGGACTTAGGTAGAAATGTGATTCAGGAATCTGTCTGACCTGATGCAGACCAGAAGCCAAGATTACTTTTTAAGGGTTGTTTTTTTTTTGGTTCCTCGAATGCCTTCAGGGCACTATTGGCCAGCGGGAGAGGTGTGAGGTTCGAACTCCAGCAACCTGAGGCTGACAGCCTTGTGGAAGCAGCCACTTACAGGACTGAGCTAGGGCCAGGGCCCCTAAATGGGTTTACTTTTGCTTCTACAACTCTTTTCTTTGAATACTAAGAAAGCTTCCCCTTCATTGTTTCAAACCATGCTTGGGAAAATTCCATATATACTGTTGTCAATGGATGATTTTATTTTATTTTTTTTGGCGGAACTGGGGATTGAACTCAGGCCCTTGCACTTGCCAGGGAGGCACTTATTCCACTGAGCCATCTTCCCAGTCCATCAGTGGATGATTTGCTAAGTGCCAGATCACCTCTTCCTTAAGAAAAAGACAAGAAACCAAAAAACTAAAAAAAAAAAAAAGCCAGCCAGCCTGTAACCACAATACTTGGGAACTTGGGAACTTGGGAGGCTGAAGCAAGAGGATGGTGAGTTCAAGGTCATCCTAGAGTAAGAGCCAGAACCTATCTTAAAAAAAAAAAAAAAAAAAAAAAAGGTGAAAGATTGGTTATAATCCTTGCTGAAAAACTGACAAACTTCAGAGTATAATAATCTTGACTTTATTTGAGGTCTTTTTATTTTGATCCTCTCTGAATGTGTGGCTTATGGTAGGGCTGTGCAGTTTTGTAACATTTCTGTTGGGGAACACCTTTTCTCTTTGCAGGCTCAAGTTAAGGGCTGTACTGTTATTAAGCCTTTCAACTTGTCCCAAGGAAGGAAGAGAACTTTTGAAGAGGCTTCGTCTGCATATGTGCCTCTGGCGCAGCAGGTGGAAGCGTTTCACAAAAGAACCCCTAACAGATACCATTTGAGGAGCAAGAAGGAAGATTCTAGTAAGTTTTCTACCAACATCGCTACGGTTGAAGCCTCCCCTAGAATGTATTTTTTTTTTTTTTTTCTTTTTCGCCTAGAATTGTTGGCGTGGGAAGAGGACTGTTCTCTGCTCAGGTGATGGCAGAGTAAGAAGAGTGTGAGCGAGTGCTGGCATGTCATAGACACAGTGGATAGATAGAGGGCGGGATTCTAATTTAATAATTTCTGTCGTGATGAAAATAATTTCTATAAGATGATAAGGAATGAGGATTACAGGTGGTATGAAATAGTTGCCAAGAGAATAGTCCAAGTTTTTTTTTTATTGTTGTTCTTTTTTGAGATAAGAGTTTTGCTGTCCGGTTCAGGCTGATCCTGAACTCATGTCGCCCAGGTTGGCCTTGAACTTGCAGTGCTCCTTTGCCTCAGTCTCCAAGTACTTGTGCCACTCTGTCCTGCATGGCCTAGTGTATTCACTTTTTTTAAAAAAATTATTTATTCTTAACTTTTTTTTTATGTATTTAGTACAGGGTCTACAGGGTCTCACTACACAGATCGCATTCGTAGTGATCCTCCTGTTTTTAGCCTCCCAACTGCTGGGTTTCCGGGTGCGCCACCATGCCCGGTCTCAGTTACTGTCTCACTGTGCCCCGGGAGCGGCCAGCACAGCACACCAGGATTGAGCCCTGGTCCCTGCACCTGCCTAAGCAGCGCTTTAGTTCCATGAGCTGTCTGGCTAGCCCTGTAGTCTTGATAAAGCAGAATGTGGCTGTTCTGCCTTTAAGGTCTCTTAACTTTTTTTTCTCTTTGGATAGCTTTATCACTATATTAGGTTGCCACACAAATTCCTTTAAGTATAGCATTTGATTTTTGTCAGAATTTATATTGTGAAAATAATGATGTCTCAATTTATCCTCATGGGAATGCTAAATATTAAACATTGCTTTTCAAGTAATATGATTCTGAGACTTAGTCTAATATGTTCTGCTTTTTAGAATCATTCCTTTCAAATGAAAATTATTTTGTGTTCAGCAGCAGAATATTGT